TCATGGCTCACTGTACTTCTACCTCCTGGACTCATGTGATCCTCTAACCTCAGCCTCCTAAGTAGCTGGAACTACAGGCATGTACCACCACACCTGGCTGGTTCTTTGACTTTTTTGTAGAGATGAGATCCTGATAAGTTGCTCAGGCTGGTCTTGAACTCCTGAGCTCAGCGATCCTCCTGCCTTGGCCTCCCAAGTTCTGGGATTACAGGTGTGCATCATCACACCTGGCTTTTAAAGTGTGTTTCTATTTCTAAAATTCCATTACTTTTAGGTTAACTTTGTTCTTTTACTTACAGGTAAACTTATTAGACACCATTCTACAGCAACCCAGATGGAAAACCCACATTGCTAAACAAACAGGAGAATGTTTTTATTCATTTTCTAAGATCAATGCCAGTTGTATTTATTACAAGTTTTGTTAGTTAGACACTTGGAAACTGTCTACAAGATTATGCAAAAGTACAGCTCAACCAAGGAATACAAAGTTATAGCTACTAAAACTATCAGTGTGATATTTTTAATTCCACATGTGATCAAGTCACATCCCCTGTGTATGAACTCCAGTGGCTTCCCACTGCTTTCAGAATGCAGTCGGAGAGGCTGAGAGCAGCTGGCATGACCTCTGTGATCATTCCTGCCAGCCTTCATTCTTTGCCCTGCACCCCATGCTCCATGAGTTCCAGCTCTTGCAAATGCCACCCATCCCAGGAGTCCTCTGAATGCCCTGTGTCCTCTACATGGCTTGAATCAGCTGGGATAGGAATTCAGCAGATAGGAGCAATTTCTGGACATGGTCCTGTGCAAGCTGAGCTGGTTAGGATCTCAACCTGCGCACTGAATTATACTCCCTGAAAGTCAAGGTTACAATACCGGAGGACCACCAACACAGCCCAGTGAGAGGAAGCAGACAGGATGGGGTGGTCAAAGGGCTCAGAAACCACCCTGCACTGAGAATGTGCTCTTAGGTCCCCCTAAGGAGAACCCCCGCTAGTATCCTGGGTTTCTGGGCACACCTCAATTATTGAACTTATTCCACAGCTCCATAGCTTTCTAGCCATATGACCTTGGACAAATGATCCGATCCATCAAGCAACCACTTTATTTGAATTAAGTGCACATCCTAGCAGGTGGAATGATTACATTAGAAAATGCACTAAAGCTTATAACATGGTGCCTGACACATGGTCAGTGCTCAGTGAATGATATTTATTTTACCAGCAAGATCGTTATTCTTCCAGGAGGCTTCATAAAACAAGGGCATTCTCTCTCACCCATAGTGTAGATTTGTAGGGGCCCCAGGAAGGCTCTCTTGTCCTCTACCCTTTCTATAAATTTCTGTTGAACTGGCTGATGCCTGAGTGACGCCTTATCCCACTCATTTAAAGATGTGATCATCATTAAAGTTGCTCTAGAAAATCTGGTGTGTGTGTGTGTGTGTGTGTGTGTGTGTCTAAAAGTTACTACTGATGTCTAAGCGAACAGGAAATCTTCCAGAGTTCTGTGAGAAGAAAACAATAGACAGCATGAGCAGAAGGAAGCCAGGGACTTGAGGATGGAAACAGGCAGGTGGGGGCATTTATAAGGGTATAGGATGAGGTACATGCATATGTATGTGGGGAGCAGGAGCACCAGGGAAAGGGAGTGAGGTCAGGAGGGGAACCTGGTATTCTCCAAAGAGAACAAACCCATCCTGATCATTTCCTGTGAGAAGGTCTCCATGGCATATGCTTTCCTGTGCTAGTTGATCACACCCTCACCACATCCTGAGGCAGACATTAGCATCCTGGTCCACCCAGGAGAACATGCAGGCCGAGAGTATTCTGTGCCCTGCTTCAGGTGACACAGTTGGCACCTGGGGATGCTTCTGTTTCAACCCAGGTCTACCTCAGTCCCAAGTCTTGCTTTTTTCTTGTCAGCTCACCACCAAGCCCAAGAAGCCCCTAAGCATGTTGCCCTCCTGGCCAATGGTGGCCTCTTTTTGAAGTACTTGGTGCTATGGGAATCATTCCCCCTGGGATGGCCTTGCAGAAATGCCTCTCCTAGCTGGGTTGCTTTTCAGGCAGCACCTGTGATATAGTTTGGCAGTGTTTTCACCCAAATCTCACCTCGAATTGTAATAATTCCTATGTGTCAAGGGCAGAGCCAGGTAGAGATAACTGAATCCTGGGGGCGATTTCCCCTATACTGTTTTGATGGTAGTGAATAAGTTTCAGGAGATCTGATGGTTTTATAACCATCTTTCCTGCCACCATGTAAGACAAGACTTGCTCCTCATTCCCCTCCTGCCATGATTGGGAGGCCTCCCCACCCATGCAGAACTGTGAATCCATTAAACCTCTTTCCTATATATAAAGATATACCCAGTCTCAGGTATATCTTTATTAGCAGCATGGGAACAGACTAATACAACCTTCCATTGAGATTGGGCTCATGCACTCTCCCTTTAGCCCTTCTCATCTCACCTTCAACTCTTCCTGGGTCTCGCACTGGCCTGCTAGGCTGTGTGGCTGGAGTGGAGTGTGCACTGAACACCCTCCAAAGCTGACACCAGCACTGGGGAATGGGAGAGGACTGGGTGATGGCAGCAAGAAGGTGGGCACAGTTAGGAAAAGGAACTCCAGTCCAATGGGAAGAAAACAAATCTCTATGAGCATTTATTATATTTTCAGGTTTTCTATGCTGTCATTTAACCTAGATGAACAGTACTTTGATGCAAACAGGGCTTAAATTTCTGAATTTTCCTCTCCTTATTATGATGATCAAAACTGGAATGTTTTGAATGGTTATTAGGGAAGAAATAAACTTATTTTTCTTTTCTTTTCTTTTCTTTTTTTTGAGATGAAGTCTTGCTCTGTCACCCAGGCTGGAATGCAATGGCACAATCTTGGCTCACTGCAACCTCTGCCTCCCAGATTCAAGCAATTCTCCTGCCTCAGCCTTCCAAGTAGCTAGGATTACAGGTGCCCACCACCACATGTTGCTGGTTTTTGTATTTTTAGTAGAAATAGCGTTTTAGTATGTTGGCTAGGCTAGTCTCAAACTCCTTACCTTGTGATCTGCCCACCTTAGCCTCCCATAGTGCTGGTATTACAGGTCTAAGCCACTGGTGCTCAGACTAGACTTATTTTTCTACACTACAATATCTTGGAGTAGAGATGATGTTTTATATTTGAGAGTGAATTCAGATTTACGTTGGCATGTCAGTCTGAACTAATGAAAACCTAAATGTTTGATTCTAGGTTTCAAAAGAAACCATTTCATTGTATATGAAGCAAAGAGACCAAACTAGGTTAATGGTGGTGGTGTTCATTTACCTCTCTCTCTATTTTTTTCTACAGCTATGGTTAGAATTAGAAGAGTTGGTTGGGCATGGTGGCTCACATCTGTAATGAGAGCACTTTGGAAGGCTGAGGTGGGAGGACTGTTTGAGGCTGGGTGTTCAAGACTAGCTTACTCAACAAAGTGAGACTCTGTCTCTACAAAAAATGTAATAAAATAAAATTAAGCTGGTGTAGTAGCGCATGACCGTAGTCCCAGCTATTTGGGAGACTAAGACAGGACAATCACCTAAGCACAGAAGTTGAGGCTGCAGTGAGCCATGGTTGCAGCACTGCACTCCAGCCTGTGTGGCACATCAAGATCCTGGTTTTTTTGAGGGGGCAGGGAAACACTGGGAGGCTGAGGTGGGTGGATTGCCTGAGGTCAGGAGTTTGAGACCAGTCTGACCAACATGGTGAAACCCTGTCTTCATTACAAATACAAAAAATTGAGCTGAGCATGGTGGTGTGCACCTGTAATCCCAGCTACTCAGGAGGCTGAGGAATGGGAATTGTTTGAACCAGGGAGGTGGAGGTTGCAGTGAGCCAAGATCATGCCAGTACATTCCAGCTTGGGCGACAGAGTGAGACTTCTACAAAAAAAAAAAAAGGAGGGGGAAGAATTAAATAATGAACAACTTGCTTGTAATTATAACATCAGCTGCATTAAATGGCTACTTTGCAGATGCCTGAAGGAAACCTGATTCAGCCTCCCTACCTCATTTCTTACCGCTGTCACACTGAGCATCCCTCCACACAAGGGACTCTCATAATTTGGAATATCACCTCTCTTTTTGGGGGCACCTCTAATATTAATTCTATAACATTTGTATCTGTGAAAAAAGTCTTTACAAGGCGGAAATAAACCTCCGCCTTGCATAAATGATCACAATACCATTGTATCAAAATTCCAATTCAGTGTTTCCCAAATATTAATCCAAGGCTCTAGCATTAGCAAGCACCTGCAATGTGACAATTTCTCTGGCAGGTGGCAGTGGTGTGTAAGGAAAAAGAGCCACACTGTGGGACCTTGGTTCCTCAGGACAAAAAAGAAGGAGGGCGGCTTGGCACATTCCTCTCAAGTCAGCAAACATCTACTGAGCCCTTCTAGTCTCCAAATGCTGCCTTAGGTGTGGGGTGGAGTCATTAGGAGTGAGCCTGGGTCTCCAGTGTGGAGAACTCACAGTCTTAGGGAAGAACGTGTCCTTGTCTATCAAGCAGGATCATTCAGGCTACTCTTGGAAAACTTAAAAATCAAGCCCACAGCCAGTGTTTCTCTGTCTACAGGCCTCATTGTAGCAACAAAGAAATCACTAAGGCAAACCTGCCCACATTTCCAGGGAGTACCTGTTGGTACGAGGCCTGGAACAAGAGTGTGTGTTTGCATGTGCTCGGCTGTTCTCATAGGTGTTCATCTCCCCACTGACTCTACAATCAGCCCATCATATTTGTGGGGTCTGCAGCCTTGGATTCACCCAACTGTGGATTGAGAATGTTTGGGGGAAAAATCCACAAATTTCCAAAAATCAAAATTTGAATTTGCCACACTCCAAGCACTACATCAAATCCTCACGAATGTGTAGGCATTGTACTAGGTATTGTAAGTATTCTAGAGAGGATGTAGCATATATGGGAGGATGTGCATGGGTTATATGCAAATACTATGTCATTTTATATCAGAGACTTGAGCATCCTTGGATTTGGGTATGGAGAGGATGTCCTGAAACCGATCTCTCACAGAGACACGGAGGGATGACTGTATATACAATTTCACCACTTCTGCAACCATGATCTATCAAAGGCATGGAAGAGGAAGACAGACAACCTGCCCTGGAGCCACAGACCCAAAAGGAAAAGGAAACAATTGTTTTTTGACCTTCTACTCAGGAGCAGACATTTAATTTTGTAAGCATTATCTCCTTTAACATTTATTACCACCCCAAAGTGACAGAGGCAGCCATTATTCTCACTTGACAGGTAAGGAAACTGAAACTCAAAGTTCACAATATCATCTACAATCTGTAGCTACTAAGGATCCAGGTCAGGAACTGAAGTCTGATCCCAGCAGATGTCTTCTTAGTAAACCACAAATACTGAATGTGAAATGCTTTGTGAGTTAGGAATCCCAGTTATGAGGTGATAGCAGGCCTGGGACGTTTGCTTATACTGCCCTTATGACACTTGAATACAGTGCTTTTCAAACATTAATCAAGTGCTTACAAACCACCTATGACCTTGTAAAAATGAAATTTTGATTTGGGTGGGGCAGGACGCTCTGAATTTCTAATGAGCTCCCAGGTAATATCAAAAGATGCCAATTTGGGGACCAGACTTAGAGTAGCAAGGTTTCAATTTACAGAGGTCCCTAAACTTTTAAAATTGTCTTAGCAACTCTAAGCCAAAAGATATTCCTAGTCTACCTTTTAAGTTGTTAGGTCCAAACAGCTAAAGTCTTTATGTTCTAACAACTTGGCAGCCATTTGAAAAAATTATTCATCTATAAATAAAAAATAATATTTTTACTTTTTTTCTTAGATTGCCATAATTACTTACTAACGGGATATATATGCCCAGAGCCTCACAACTTCTTGACCCTTAAAACAAGATGGAACACCACCAACATCATTTCCTGTTCCATTTTTATTTTTATTTTTGATACTTGCTCTTGGGCATGAAACAGCTTTAAGGCTCAGCTTGATATGACACCATTAAAAGGAACTTCGTGCATGTTGAAATGGGAAGTTTACTGGAACTACTAGTTTACATGGAGTCTGACAAATATCCCTCAGAAATCCCTGCTGCATTTCCCTTAGACATTTAATATATCCCGTGGTGCCCCGGGGCTCCTTGGTGCAGCAGCTTTAAGGTACTCTCACTTAGCCAACAGCAGTACAGAGAAGTGGACCGACCTTTGGACGAGGAGCCAAGAGACTCTCGCTAGAATTCTGTGTGACTTTCACAGGCTGTCAACCTCTGGGTCCCCTTTTCTGACGACAGAGGGAGCCCTAGAGCCGCTTTAACCTTTAGGACCATTCAGATATAAAATCTGTGATTCTAGTATTTCATACAGCTTTCTCAGCTCCCCTGTGAGATTCAGCTCTTCCAGGGCAGGGCTGCGTGTTCCAGCATCACACCTCATGGTGCCTTCCCCATACTAGGTGCTTAGTAAACAGCTGTGCAACAAACACCTTCTGAAAACATCTGAATCAAGGTTTGGTGGAGGGGAAGGGTAGTTTTATTACTTCTTTAATATCCAGAACATTTTTATGGATACAAGCAGCATTGTTTTTCTTTGAGAAGGAGTCTCACTCTGTTGCCCAGGCTGGACTACAGTGGCATAATCTTGACTCACTGCACTGCAATCTCCGCCTCTCAGGTTCATTCTCCTGCCTCAACCTCCCAAGTAGCTGGGATTGCAGGCACCCACCACCATGCCTGGCTAATTTTTTTTTAATTTTTAGTAGAGACAGGGTTTCACCATGTTGGCCAGGATGGTCTCAAGTTCCTGATCTCAGGTGACCCACTCACCTCAGCCTCCCAAATTGCTGGAATTATAGGCATGAGCCACTGTGCCCTTCCAAAAGACACATTTTCAATGGCCAGTGTTATAGTGATAACTTTAAAAAGAGATGAGGGTATGTAGTGGAGTATGTATGGTGGGTTTGTAGTGTCATTGCATTCCAGGTAGACAGAAATATAAATGGGAATGCATGAGGACTCAGATGCAAAAGCCTGGATTCTGATGACAGGATAACTGAGAACTGGGGCAAGTCACCTGAGTCTCTGCATGTAAACCTCTTTAACTGCTTAACGAGAGCCATGGTGGCTGTTCTCTGCCTATGAGATAATTAGGAGCATCAGAAAAATACTGAATATGAAAATGCTTTGTGAATTAGGAATCCCACTTACACCACATCGCCACCCTGGGCTTCTCACACCCCCTCTACAAGCTGATTGTGCAATATGCTCAGCAATGAATTGGCCTCCCAAAGCCATAACCAAAACGTAGAGATCTGGCCCAAAGCCACTACTTTAATCACAGGTGCAGATGTTATTTAGGGAATTGGAAAGGAGCTACTAGGTGAAGGCAAGGAGACTCTCAGTCTCTATCTGTAAGGCCAGTTGCCTCACCAGGAGCCCGAACACGCCGATCCCTCTCCCCACCTGAAAATTACATCACCAGAACATGCCCATCATCTAGCTCTGCCTTGGAAATCCCCTCTGCACTCAGCACTAAGCTCTGCACTAGGCACCTAGCGTGCTCACCAGAAATCCCGCCTACCTACCAATAGCAGCTCGCCCTACCCACGTCCCATTTCTCCACAGCCAATCAGAACACCTTCCCTCCGTATAAAACCCCATGCCTGACAGGAGTCAGGCTTGACTTCTCTGGCCTTTTTCCCTGGGACCACAGAACCTCGCCCAGGAGCTGAATAAATTGGTGTCTAATTGTTCTCATGCAGGCCTCAAATTCCTCATTTTATTTTATTTTATTTGAGATGGAGTTTTCGCTCTTGTTACCCAGGCTGGAGTGCAATGGCGCAATCTCGGCTCACGGCAACCTCCACCTCCTGGGATCAGGCAATTCTCCTGCCTCAGCCTCCTGAGTAGCTGGGATTACAGGCACGCGCCACCGTGCCCAGCTGATTTTTTGTAATTTTAGTAGAGATGGGGTTTCACCATGTTGACCAGGATGGTCTCAATCTCTTGACCTCATGATCCACCCGCCTCGGCTTCCCAAAGTGTTGGGATTGCAGGGGTGAGCCACCGCACCTGGCCAAATTCCTCATTTTAAACTCGGCAATAAACCTCACAAGACAATAACCCTTACACTATCCATTTGAGAGGTAACACACTAGACACCATAAATCAATTTAGCTCATAAATATGTATGTTCCCTACGGGGAAAAACCTTTAACCCTGATCCAGGGAACAAAAGAAAATAGACATTACTATTTTCCTTTCCTTGGGACAATCCTGTGGAATGGCTTTCCCTTAGGAATGGAAATTCTAAGCTCACAGCCTGACATTTTCCCCTAAAATGATAGGATCACCTTCCAATCCTGCCTTCATGTACAGATGAATCACTTTTTCCACTCACCTAATTCGTCATTCCTACCCTCCCAAACTGATAAGCCTCAGGGCTTTACCAATCTTATCTTTTGAAGAATTAGATCCAAGAACATCTGTCAAGAAATCCAGGAGGTCCCCCGTGAGTTACAGTTTACCATTATTGATTTCCCTCATAGTAACTGTTAAATGTAAAACAGACCAAACACACATTGTGGCAATAAAGAGCTCTAAGTGTCTTGGTGTATTAGCGTTCTTCAGAGAAGCAGACCAAACACACACACACACACACACACACACACACACACACACACACACACAACTCAGAGAGAGACAAAGAGAGAGGAGAGAGAGAGATACTCACAGAGAGACAGACAGCAAGAGCGAGAGAGAGAATGATTTTAAAGAATTGGCCTATGTGATTGTAGAATCTGGCTAGTCTGAAATCCAAAGGATAGACCAGGTATGCTGAAAACGCAGGCATAGTTTCTGTGCTGCAGTCTTGAGGTCTGATTTTTTCTTCCTCAGAAAACCTGTCTTTGCTCTTAAGGCCTTCAACTGATTAGACAAGGTCCACGCACATTGTGCTTTACTCAAAGTCGACTTATTTTAATATTACTCACTTCTAAAAAAAGTCTTCACAGCAACATCTAGACTTGTCCAACAACTGGGCACTGTATTCTAACCAAACTGAGCCAAACAATGACTGGACATTGGTGTCCTGCTGGTGCCCAAAAGTGACTGAAGCCCTCAAAAATAGCCTAAAATGAATTATTTACCATAAGTCAGCTGGCACCACGGTAAGAAGAGTAAAGCTGAATGGCAGAAAAGATCAGAAGAAAGAGCTTTCTCAGGGACTGTCTCAGGAAGATGAAGTACTAAAGCCCCTCCTCCCGTACCTTGTATCTGGGCTGTGTGGCCCGCACAACCAGTGGGAGTATCTGAGTGGGTGTGGGAGCATCAGCATGCAGGCGTCTGCTGGGAAGCAGTCCATCTGGGTTGATACACCCTTCTCATCAGCATTTCCTCCTCCAGCAGGGAGAGTTCTGCTGAGTAACAGCCCACTTTATCAGGGTCAGAACTGGAGGGGGTGATGGAGCTCTGGGAAAGATAAATGATGCAGAAATAGTCACTCAAGGACTCCGGGAAAGAAACATCTTCTTTCCTCAGCCCTGTCCTCTCCCTCTGCCAGAATATGGGTCACATTGGCCTGATGGCAAGAGGTTAGTCTGGGGGAAGGTTGGCACCAGACCTGGGTGCTTGTGAAAAAGGAACTTCTTGAAATACTCTGCCTGCTGATTGAAAAATGCCAATTCCTGCCTCTAACCCACAGTGTTGTACTTAATGATATTAGGAGGTGGTTCCTAGCTGGTGATCGGCTAGAGCTCCTGAAGAGCTAAACAACTGTGCCAGTTGATCCTCAGCCCCGCTTTGGCACCAATATGAGTCCTGTGGGTTCCTGTGAGTTTGGTGACGTGTGCTTCCTAGTTTCCCTGCCTGCCTCCCTCATGGCTTGATCCCAACATACCACCCCCACCTCCAGCTCCTGTGAGCTTCTGAAACAGAAGTCACACAGCGTCATTCCTTTTTACATTCAAAAGCTTTTTGATGGGGCGAGGAAGGTTACTTCACCCTGCACGCAGCTGGGGAAACCCCCCCCATGATTTACATACCTGTAATTTTCTGGTTTCCCCTTCTCTCCTTGTGTCTTCTCTTCCAGTAGGTAGATTTTTCTGACTTATTGGGACATTTTAGGTGCATTTTTTGTTGCTCCTTTTGTCTGCAGTGTGCTTTCCTCTTTTGTTCATCCCTCAAACCCCTTTTCGGGCTTGTCATCTTGTCTTTATGTTTCTTCTATACACTCACTTCCTTCCAAGCAGCAGAAACCCGATCACTGCATGTGTGGCTTCTGTTCCTGCCATAGTTGCATTTATTACAGAGGCATG